GACTTAGGAAGATTTCCCTGGTGCCTTTACACCACCACGCAATAAACGATGAGTTTATTATATTTATTGTACGTTATTTGCTGTTTTCCGAGTATTTGCCTGTAATCGGTTTTCGTCCGTCGGATTGGCCTTCTAATCATTTTCATCTCATTTATACAGAAAACAGATTATTTGTTCATAAACATACCTTCGTCTAACCTAGAGGCTTCCCTTGCATTCACCTGTTAGCTTTACTGCCTATGAAGTAATCAAAATATGATTCTTGTTCCATGACTAATCCACAGAGAAGAGACTCATCCGTTCTCCTTTTCGTAAGACAATTTTTCAAAGAACAAAACGTTTCAGATAGTGACGGCCTACGTGCGTGACGTGTCTGGGTATAATAAACATCAAATGGGTGTCAGTGCCACTATTGACATATTTCAAATCATGACCAAAGTGCATAGTGAAATAAATATTACCTGATATCACTTAACAGTATATATGGCCAAAGTTCGCTTGTTATGGTTAAATATTGATATTGACAACGTCACATGATATATTTCATATCATGAAGGTTTTACCGTTGTGCGAGTTGGCCATAATATGTCTTCATCATAAAGCGGAAGAAAGATCATCTAAAGCAGCATATAATATTTATTTTAATGCGTTGAGACAAATATCAATAATAAACCCTTTAAAGGCACACTTAGCCCACACACGGGCAAAGATAACGACAAACCTAATGTCTATTTTGTAAATTTCCAGGAGCAACAGCAATTAATGGAATAATGGAAAAATCCAAGCGAGTATATATAGCTAAAAAGTAATAATAAAATAAGTGGTTACAAAAGCGGTGTGTTTGCCAAGATAATTATTGGACTTACAGAATATCGCACCATCTTGTTATCAAAATAATTGTTTATACTCTGGAGTTTTGAAATAGAACTACCTACCAGAAAATACTAGACTTAAGAAGTAGATTATCCTTATCAAATCAAATCGCTATTCGAGTCGCAAAACATCTCATTTCTGCTTACTGTCATACTTTATTTTGTTTTTGTACATTTGCAATTGGATGTAAGAACGAAGAAATAAGACTTTTCACAGGGTCATCTTAATTATGTTATGTACATTTTATGAATTTTAAGTTTTACCACAATGTGTTTTTTGTTTTATTGTCTGTCTTGTGTGTGTATAAAGAAAATAAGAAGCAAAGCTCAGAGGTGAAAACCTACCCCCTTTTGCTTCTTGCTTATAAGAACATTTGCGGACTTTTGCCCCCGGCCCCCCTCCAATTGCCAGAGCATCCTGAGAACGCCACATTTCCGAAACTGATTAAAGGATGTATGGATGTTGCAACTAAATAACCAAACTTTGTCAAATTGAAATATCATAACTTCGATGCACATTATTTCTTTAATGTTACCAGATTTCGTGAAAAAAGAGGAAAAAACAAATTATGTCCAGGATAATTGTTGTCAGGATTAGATAGGACTTTATTGAATGTGCAATGATAACTATAGTACACAAAGTAAAATATTTCATTGAAACATAATATATAGTTTAAACCTGATTCCAAACAAACTTAAATCAATCACTTATTGAGAATCTTAAATGTTGTTGGCTGATCGCACATAATTCACCCACCAACTCTAGATTGACAATTAGAAAAATGAAGATACTCGTTTAAATCATATATCTTCATAATGTCGATACTTGAAGATGATGAACATAGAACCAGGCTTAAAACACACTTTAAAAACTGAAATAAAAATTCTGAGTAACTGCTCTCACTCTCACCTCTCTCAATTTACAACAATCTGTGTACAATTCTGTTTGGTGAAAATGCAATGACGTGTTTAAAAATAACTAATTGCTGATCATTTGTTTTCACACTATATAAACTATATAAACATTTGATTTACGAATGGTATAGCATGACTCATCGGACAGTTCGGATATCCACAGAAAGAAAATGAGACCATGAAATTATGAAGTAAATTTACAATATAAATATTTCACCTATTTGTAAAGAAATTGATAATTAGAAATACACTAGGTTTACAAGCACTTGTATGAATATCTACAATTTAAACGATTGCATGAGAGATAACAAAAAAATGAAAGCATGTTTTACAGGCAAAATACGGGTTATAAGTTTGATAAAAAAAACTGTCTTATTTTTGTCTCCGCTATTCTAGAATAGTCCATGTACAATTCTGTGAAAAGAAAGGAAATTTACAATAATTTCCAAATGAAATGATTCTTTGTTTTCAACGTTGCCAAGTAGGCCCCTTTTTGTAATTAGGGAATATACACTCATTACTAACGTGATATAAATAAGAATAGTGTTGATACCAAATGAACCTAACCATTGTAGATAATACATAAGAAATAGGAAGATAATTCATATATAATGTAGATACTCGAAAAACAACAACAAAGAAACAGGTTTAATAATAAAAATTAGTACGTGTTCTTTTACCCAGAGAAGCCAAAAGACGTTAGTGCTGGCTGGGATTCGGACACTAAACCCTCGGATTGAGAGTCAAGTGAATGCACCACTATACCACCACCCCTCAACGCTTAACACAATCTTTTACACAAATGAAAAACTCACTCTGAATAAATACCGAGCATGGTGGCTCAATACCGGGCATGGTGGGTCAATGGTTAGAGCGTCCGCCTCATGAACGGGAGGTCGTGTGTTCGATCCCCGGCCGAGTCATACCAAAGACTTATAACAATGGGACCTTCTGCCTTCTAGCTAGGCGCTCAGCATATTAGATTGGAGAAGGGTAATATTAACATGTTATGTTATATGTTATGCAGGGCCCGCTGAGAGAGCAGTTTCATAACTGAAGTGGCTACCCTGGTAAATAAAACGTTATTATTATTAGTATTTATTTATTATTATTAAATGTTCTAACGATATCTCAATTGAGAGATTAAAAACAGAAGATTTACAAAAAAAAATTGTATAACGCTACATTCATAAAAAGTATAAACTGTTGTTACATTGTATATAACTTTTTCAAATATATATTGTATTCACGTTCACTTGTTGGGTATGAATATGTAAATGTAGTCCGAAGTACTCGCTTAATCGTTTACGTCTCACTCACAAAATCCATCCTAATTGTTAAAAAAAGAACTATTATTCGTCAACCGTCACAGGACTTATTGTTTTTAAATTCTTACCATAATCACTTGTTACCTACGTTAGCTCGCATGGCTTGAATACAATACTTACTTATATAACATCAATTGAGGAAGTATAACAATTAATAAGGAGGGCTTCTCGAAATTTTCCCACTGACCCTTGGTGAACCATTAGCTTGTTAGTGTAAAAATATGATATGGCCTTTTTAGTAATTCAAACAGTATTCTTGGTCCATCTGACGAAATCCTTAACAAGCTCTAGAATATACTTCTTACTAATTCTTGGTAAATAACATTATATTTAAGGACATAGTCATTTGTTTTCTTATCATACTAATCTTTGACTTCCAAAGACAGAAAAAGTAAATAAAAATGGAAATCCATATTCACGCCCCAATATCATTAAAAAAAGAGCAATATTGGTGGAATATATTATAAGGTTACCGTTGTTAATAACGTCTTGTTTTATTGATAGGCTACTCATCGAAATGCGATCATGGATAACAGAGCATGGGCCAAATGTAAAAAGCATTTCAAAATCGACTTTGCCAAAGTTTATGATGAATAATGTTCAATAGTTACGTTGATATTTGTTATATGCCTTCATTCAATTGGAATGGAATGAGGACCATTCAAATAAATGTTGGGTTGAGCATCCATGTCATTAAAAACATGGGCAAAGTCAAAATGGACATGCACTGTTTAGCTGTCTATGTGATTTTGTTGATCAAGTTGTCAAAATAAGGAAAAGATGAAAGGGTGCAACTTGTGGATCGCCGACTAAATGTATAATTATGTCGTGATTGCATCAATAATACCTCGTACGAAAAATTAACCTACGGCAGAATAATGAATATGATATAATGTCTATATACTAGACGCAACTAGATCGCAACTACTTTAAAGGTACTATGTCCCTTTTGCAGCCAACCTCAAATTCTGTATAACTTTGCAGGAATGATGAATATGTCATCTATGTCCTATCTGTGAAATTAACGCGTTAGTAGTGTCCTAATATTCAAATTATGCAATGAAACCCGTTTACTCGCTAGACTTTACTGGCAGGCACTATTGAGTGACTGACTGGCTTTTTTTTTTCTTTGGTAATAACATATATAAAATGAGCTGTAAAGGGTACATGGGGAATTTGTCTACATCAATAACCCACTTCTTGTGATGGCCAAAATTTAACTGATTGAATTTTTGCGCAGCATAAAACGTATGACCATTCGTATAATGGTCTGAAAATCAAGACTATTACTTATTGGCTCTATAGCTCCTAAGTCGATTTGACAACTAATAGTCGTTATTTTCCCACTTGAAGACATTTTCAAGCCTTAGCTTTTTTAGGGAAGCTCTAAATTAGTATTATCTTGCAAATGCCGTTGGAATTTAACCTTTTTAATTTGTTTTGCCTGCAAATGGGACATAGTACCTTTAACAAAAATCAACTTCTTTTTTATTTGTTTTTATTTTTTTATGTCTGCCCTCAATAACGTACTGTCAAATAATTGAATATTACATTAAAAAACACATTTCCAGACATCAACAAATTTCTTTTACTTTTATACAAATAAAGAAAACACACGCATGTGAAGTTATAATATCAAAATTAACAGCATCTGTGAACACGAGAGACCGCCAACTCCAGACAATTTCAATAGCCTCGTCCATCACCTCTAGAAATACGTGAACATTAAAATGACGTATTACGCGATCCGAACATTATTTCTGTACGATATACATTAGGCTTCTGAAATTACCATTGAGTTGAATTGTCGTTGTAATTACGATTATGTTACACGTTTGTCAAGTAAATTTATAAATAAATGAAATAAAGAAGTCGATTATTGATTTTACTTTTGAGTGTTTATTTTGTAGGACGATGTTAATCTTATTCCTGTTTCCTTCAGTAACTCGTCCAGGTCTTTCATTTTCTTCCCAGATTTCCATCCGCTCAGTAGTTGCTCGTAGGTTGTATTGTAATCGGAATCGTTGAAGTCTAAGAGGTTCAGAGAACTTTTGTGATCAAAGCTAAAGGCTTCACAAATCGGGTCGAAATGATTTATACCGAGTAGTTTTGACAAGTTCTTGATATGTTCGTTCGTCACCTTCTCGGCATCTACAACGAAAATAAAGTTAATATTTTTATCAGAGGCCAAATAAGTAACCAAATACATTTGAATGCGTTGAAATATAAAGGATTTGTTTTTTTACAAGGATTATAGCACATGTTTGTTTCCTTATTAAGAATTAGTGATTATCTAAGGAATTTATTTATTTAGAAAGTTATGAACGGAAAAGTGTTAAGTAGACAATTTACACACTGATTATAATATTACGAGTTAAATGAGTTGATCATTTTGTAAGTAGTGCTTTCTCCAAGAAAGGTTTTAATGGAAATGTTTATCATGGACGTATGGAACGACATAGCGATTACCATAGCGTATACTGCAAGAGATAGTTGTAACACGCGCACGCGTACGTACTCATGGCGAGCCTAGCTTTTCTGAGATTCCCTTTTTTTCCCTCTCAGTTAAATCATGCTATATAATTTTTTTTAAATAAATAATAAAATATTTTGTCTTATTCTCAAACTTAACTGAACTATGTAAACTTATTTTATTACGTACATACTTATCAGTAATAAGTAACTTGTATAATTCATTTGTTCTATTATATATTGTAAACATGTAGGGTTTATATATGTGATGTTAATTTGTGGCTATATGAGTGAGAATATAAATTAAAAAAAATAAAAATCAAGGTGCAGGTCATTGAACGCTGAGGTAATTCTTCCACATTATTTCATGTGGGAAGGAACTATTTGGAGCTCCATGTATTGAGCTTTGATCACCTATGGGTGCGCGTGTCTAACCGTGAAGTCTAGCAAGTAAACGGGTTTCCTTGCATATTTTGAATATTAGGACACTGCTAAAGTTTAAATTTCATAGATAGTACATACATGACATATTTATAACTCCTGCAAAGTTTTACAAAATTTGATGTTGGATGCAAAAGGAACATTATTTCTTTAATGGCTGAATTGTTGAATTGTTTTTACTCGTCTTAAAATTCATACCAAATCAAGCCGCAAAAACTGTACATTCGAGAAAAAAATTCTTCCTTGAGATATCTCGTCATAATTTGTTTATAAATTCGTGTTTTTAGACTCATTTTTAGTCGATAAATTAGGAGTATTGCAGATTGTTTACCTTCATGATAAGCAACGTTATCAGTCACGGCGTTCAAACTCATTGATGCCATCGCGGTGGATGTCTCTGAAATACTTGCAGACTCTATGTAATACAGAAAAATAGGTGTAAATTACCATCTTGTCCAAGTGTCATGTGGTCGAACATCATAACGTCCAACAAACTTTTGTCATTCAATCATTTTGTCCCCAAATCATTACTTTTCTTTGAGCATCATGCGATTTAACCAACATATATAATCCGTAATACGTTTTTGTGTTTATCTTGTTATCTCCCTTTTTATTTGTTGTGGCGCGTGTGCAAGTATGAGCAAATTCTTAGACTCGCCTCCCCTTCCCCCCCCCCCCCCACAGGGATTTTTCTCAGAGCCCAATGTCCATTTAGTCATATACTTCCAAATAGTAATTTGTTTTGTTATAGATGCAAATTGAACAGTCCAAATCTTCAACAACTTTTGCACTAAATCTATATTCGTTGACGAGTTTGCGTGGAGTGGGCACGGATCAGGGCTGTGTTTCATAAAATCCATTATCAATAACGAGTTACAGTAACTGTTACAGGCTACTGAAAGCATTGTATTTGACTGGCTGAGAGCAAAATTGTCATAGAAAGTTAGCATTTGTTAATGATAACCAGTTTTATTAAACAAGGCCCAACATGTATTGTTAGAATATGCTATTATACAGTGCGTCCCCCAAAAAAATGAAACCGAGAATTATCGATGTTTTATCATAACTTAATCACAATTATAATTATCAAATGACACACATTTGGAAAGCTGAGATTCTCCGCTTTCATTTGATGAAACTCATATGATTCATATTTCACACATGAGTGATTAAAAGCAATTTGAAGAGAGGAAACCAAAAAGTCATTTGGCGGGCGGTATCTGAATTTTAAAAAGAAAATCACATTTCTAGAAAGTTCAATTTCTGCCCTTTCAAATGACACCTCAATCAGGAAAAATGAGCCAGAAATAACAAAGTTCTGATTGTTTAAAGTAAGGCTTGCATTTCCATCATTTGATCAAACGAGTTCGTTTTCAATGGCTGCCTGCCGTAGCTACGAACAGAGTTGACAAAAGACTTAACTCCGTTTCGTTGACGATCAGCCCGGCTGATCGTCATACACGAGGAAGACGAAAGACCTGATGCATGGCTGATGTTTGTTGTTTTACCTTTTAAAGGTCATTTCAGTCTTCCGTTATGAGAATGTGCCTCTAACCCCATTATGATTGTGTTTTTTCTCTTTATAAGATGTAATATTTTGCACTGGGACCTCACAAATCATATAAATTTTCCTCACTCACTTCGCTCCTTCGCAAGTGAATATTCAGACATTACACCCAACTGCAAAGTACAATGCCTGGGCAATAAATATTAAAATCATCCATGATAATGTAATCACAATGTAGGGGTATATACCAATGTCTAAACAAATCGTTTATTTTTGCTTTGAGATTTCCCATTGTAGGTGCCCTTTTTTGTTGGTGCCCCCCCACACTTTGGAAGTAGCTAAAGCGGGTATATATATGGTATAATCATGTAAACTGGTTGTAGACTAATTGAAGTGGAATGAACTGGCTATAGAAACAAGTGGCATTGGATAACGCTGCAATATAGAATTTATTTTGTATACAATTCGTTCAGTTTTAGGATCATGAAAATCAGGAATATATAGTACTGCAATTTGGGTAAGTCGGGATAAAAAGATTGAAGAACAAAAAATTACATCGTATTAATTTAAATTGGGAAATTTACATATTCCTCTAACAAAATGAAGAGTATAAAAACAACCTAAAACTAAGGGTATTATGCAAGTTCTGTACCTATAAGTACATCATTTTTTTACATGAAATAGTGATCACTGATAACATGAGAATCATACCTTCAGGTGATGCTTCTTCTCTCTCTGCTTGTTCACTCATGAGATACTGAACTACATCAAGATGACCATTGCTTGATGCAACAAGAAGTGGTGTCTCACCAGCATTATTTTCCCTCTTTACATGTGCTCCTTGACCGACAAGGTATTGAACTACATCAAGATGACCATTGCGTGATGCAACTTGAAGTGGTGTCTCGCCAACATTATTTCCCCTCTTTACCTGTGCTCCTTGACCAACGAGATACTCAACTACATCAAGATGGCCATTGCGTGATGCAGTAAAAAGTGGTGTCTCACCAGCATTATTTCCCCCCTCTACCCGCGCTCCTTTGCCAATGAGAAACTTAACAACAACTAGATGACCCTTCTTGGATGCAACATAAAGTGGTGTTAAACCATTATTATCACCATCTTCAACCTGTGCCCCTTGACCAACGAGGTACTGAACTACGTCAAGATGACCCTTTTCTGATGCAACATGAAGTGGTTTTGAACCTTGATTACCACTTCTCTCAATCTGTGCTCCTTGACAAACGAGGTACTCAACTACGTCAAGGTGACCCTTTTGTGATGCAGCATGAAGTGGTGTCACATCTTTTTTAGCACACTTCTCAACCTTTGCTCCCTGACCTACGAGGAACTCAACTACGTCACGATGACCTGCATCTGATGCAAAGTGAAGAGCCGTCAAACCAACTTTAGTAGGATAATCAGTCTGTGCTCCTTGACCAATGAGATACTTAACAACATCGAAGTGACCGTTGCGTGATGCACCGTGAAGAGGTGTCTCATCATTATTATCACGAGTTTCAATCTTTGCTCCTTGACCAACGAGGTACTGAACTACATCAAGATGACCATTGCGTGATGCAACTTCAACCGGAGTCGAACCAATATTAGTACCTCCCTCAACCTGTGCTCCTTGACCAACGAGGTACTCAACTACGTCAAGATGACCCATTTGTGATGCAACATGAAGTGGTGTATAAGCCGTATTATCACCCTCATTAACCTTTGCTCCTTGACCAACGAGGTACTCAACTACGTTAAAATGACCCTTCTGTGATGCAACATGAAGTGGTTTTGAACCTTGATTTCCACCTCTCTCAACCTTTGCTCCTTGACCAACGAGGTACTGAACTACGTCAAGATGACCCATTTGTGATGCAGCATGAAGTGGTGTCATATCATTTTTAGCACACTTCTCAACCTGTGCTCCTTGACCTACGAGGAACTCAACTACGTCACGATGACCTGCATCTGATGCAAAGAGAAGAGCCGTCATATCAACTTTATTAGGTTTATCAATCTGTGCTCCTTTACCAATGAGATACTCAACTACCTCCAGATGACCATTGCGTGATGCACCGTGAAGAGGTGTCTCATCATTATTATCACGAGTTTCAATCTTTGCTCCTTGACCAACGAGATACCGAACTACTTCAAAACGGCCATTTAAAGCTGCCGTAAGAAGGGCTTTATCGATATCAGAAGGTTCATTTGCTGTTTTATCAGCCATGTTAATTTTGAAGCGAATTTGTAGATTTTTCCTAATTGTTCGTGTTTGTCAAAGTAACCTTTGCGTTTTGTAAATCGTTCTTGAAAGAGACTTAACACGACATTTAAGTTTACCGCTCTACAGCTTTAGACGTATATATCTTTCTCTGTTACCCTCCAGATTTAAACTATTCACAGCCTACTGGTGAGTATGCATTGGAAGCTACGGCAAAGGAATGGTTCTAACGTGATAAAGTAAAAGATGCGAGCATAATTCCAATTTCATAATTAAAGAATCCGTCTCGGACAGTCCTACCGCTGTCAGTACAAGTTTGATATATATCCACTTTATTCGTCTGATTTCCTTCACATAAACCAACGTGCTCCGGTTCATCCAAATATAACATCTAAGGTACGTTGCTTCAAGATGAATTGTAGATTGTCAAAGCAGATCAAAAATCAGTGCATAACATTCTTCAACGATAAAACACTGGGATTTTTCTTAAAATTTAGCTCCCTGCTTTTTATTCGAAGAATTTGTCTTGTGTTTGATGGTATATTACACACAGGTAAGAGCTCAATCATTTATTTATGTGTGCTTACAGTTTCCTGATCAAACTAACCTACGAAACGATCATGGAGAAAATGGCGGATCCTTTTGTGAGAATCGGGCGTTGTTTTGAAGAACATCATCCCGACAGTACATTATCATGCAATCATCTAGGATTTGATAAAATGAAATGCAAAAGTACATGAAAAGAGAAAATATGCATGGTTGACTATTTATTACCTAGGGAAAAGTCGGTTTTTGAGACATGTAATGTTGTAAAATGTCGTTGGGTATCAAAGTGTCAAGGGCACCTCCATGCACAATTTCTAGGATCGACTATCCTGAAATTATGCGGCTTGAAAAAAATGGCCGCCATATATAACTATTGTTGAACAATTTTGGGAATAACTTTTTAAGGGACTCTTATGTTATCATGTGTGAAGTGTCATATATAAGAGAGTTAAATTGTCTGCAAGATGATAATCATGTTAAATTCAATAGGTTTCAGCATAATTTGCGTAACAATTTTGAGCCATAAATGTGAATGTTTACACTTTTTTCCAAAGTTATGAATTTCCCAAAATACACATTTATCTATATTTAAAGAATAATGATGACTACTGACTTGGAACTTTTTGAAAGACTCTCAATTAGTATGGGTCATATCAAAGATAACCTTGAGTTCTGGTAAGAAAAAGAAAATAAATTCTCACAGAATCAATTGAAATTTCAATACACTGAATGTTTCAGATTACAAATAAATGTCATTTGCTGAACAATTTTGGTAGAAAATGTATACTGGCTGATTAATGAGCATAGCAAGATAAGGAAATCAAGGTAAGTAGCCCCGACACCATTTTTGTAGTCCCATATACATCTTTCTGTGTACAGTACTTGCTACTTTACCAAGACTGGGCCAAATTTATTATGATTTTGATAACTCCAGAACCTTGCAGTACACATTAATACTTACGTGCTACATGATTAACTTTATCTGGTCCAATTCACACATTTTCTTTCACAATGCAATCGCATGACAGAACTCAACTTTATCTTTAAATCCACATTCCAAGTTAATCGCTTTTCTAACAAAACGTTTAAGTCGTTCTTAAGTTGACGCCTTTATATTAGCTAACGCAGCAAGTTGGGTTGTTAAGGGTGGTCTCTCCTGAGCATCGCTAACATAGTGAGATGATAAAATAGACTACATAATTATCGCAAGTAGATGCAATCATTAAACATATTAATATTTTAATAGGCAGTGAGATGTCAGATGATTCAGCTTCAACATATTTAAATGATAGTTGTATCTCTTAGTTACCGTTGCTATGGTAATAACACACCTAATAACCAGTATATGTGTTCTCAGAAAACAAAGTGCGCTTTCTCCCGCTAGTTTAATCGCTGAAAATTGCTGACAGAATAATTGTGTAAGTTACAATAATCCGATTAAGATATTTAAGATTACTTTTTTTTTCAAACGAAGTAAATTAGAAATCATATTACATCGGATGAGGGATAAGGGATGGAAATACTCACTATACGAATTTTCTCACCGCTATTTGGAGGGGCCCCTTCCATTAACCCCTTTATAGCGACACCACCTATATCTTGAAAAATCTGTCTACATCTCAAATCAGACGCAACTTCGGAAAATCGAGTACTGGCAAATACTTTGAAACACAGCGAATAAAGCAGGGTGATTCGAGTGCGTTAACCGTTTAATGCGACTCATTGTGTACAAGAGGAAAAAGGGAAATTCTTTTACAGTCAACCTAGTGTCGGCATACACTTTTGGAAAATAATGTTAAGGCTAAATTAATTTCAACAGGCATGAAGGATAAGCCAGGTAAAGATCTTTCAAAATGACAAACATTTCACATGGAAATATAAAGTGCATACAAAAAAAAAAAAAAATTATACAGTTAACAGCTAAATTATTCATATCTTACCAAGTTTAGTCATTTTTAAGTAAGTAAACAACTGATTTTTCCTGATTGATGTTACTTGAAAATTAGACACATTACAGCTTACATCTATAAGTATTCAACAGAGGCCCTAATTTAACCAGCACGCCTTTCGGTATTGGAGTTAGGAAAAATAAAATCATTGAATTTACCAGGGGTATGACTAATTTAGTTGTTAACTGTATATGCCAACAACAGGTTGACTTAGGAAGATTTCCCTGGTGCCTTTACACCACCACGCAATAAACGATGAGTTTATTATATTTATTGTACGTTATTTGCTGTTTTCCGAGTATTTGCCTGTAATCGGTTTTCGTCCGTCGGATTTGCCTTCTAATCATTTTCATCTCATTTATACAGAAAACAGATTATTTGTTCATAAACATACCTTCGTCTAACCTAGAGGCTTCCCTTGCATTCACCTGTTAGCTTTACTGCCTATGAAGTAATCAAAAAATGATTCTTGTTCCATGACTAATCCACAGAGAAGAGACTCATCCGTTCTCCTTTTCGTAAGACAATTTTTCAAAGAACAAAACGTTTCAGATAGTGACGGCCTACGTGCATGACGTGTCTGGGTATAATAAACATCAAATGGGTGTCAGTGCCACTATTGACATATTTCAAATCATGACCAAAGTGCAAAGTAAAATAAATATTACCTGATAGCACTTAACAGTTGTCTGCCATTATACGACATAATCATTACCGATTAAGCCAATTTGTAGTTCCCATACAAACCTTATACTCCACCGTGAGACCAAATTTGTTTTCTCTTTGTAGCCTAAATGTGGGATTTTACTGCTCCGCTGAAGTAATACCCGTGTAAGCGATTTAGGCACTACTTGCTATTGATGGAAGAGAAGAAATAAAGTCAATTGTCTGGTCTGTAGTCTGAACTTTAACCTAGGAGAGCTTTTGTGGACGAATTGAAAAGCATGTAAAGACAAAAAATTTCATTGTTCTGCATGAACACTAAAAAGACAGCTGTGACGTATCCAGGGGCCGGGTGCTTTCATGTGATATATTTATCGCAGCAACCCATAGCCCACTTCACTGAGCACCATTATATTGAAAATGGCATGTACAAATCCATTTGAGCCAGATTGCGGAGAAAAAGCCCTGCAAATGTTAAAATCGCATGCAAGTAATACCTTAATAGAATGAAAACTATAAAACCCAATGAGTGATAGTTCTTATACGTTTCTTTAAATAATGATGGAATCTATTGTAATGAATAAAGATTTCTGCATTTTTCAAAAATTTAACTTTTTCATATTAAAGAGCAAGACTTCTATCGGAATATAATTTTCCCTCTCGGATGGTCATATGCACACGGTTAATTAGGGCATTCCTATCTTTGTGACTAGTCCTTTTGTATGAAAGTAAAACAAAGTAAGAAAAACAGAATGGCGAAATTTTGAATCAATCAGCTTAATAATAGTAGAGTTATGAATGTTTGAAATATTAGATCAGTGTAGCTATGCAATTCTTAAATTGGCAACGTTGTCATTGGATTATCAATACTCCCGTTAGTCGTGTACACAAATATCATTAATTTCTCTTTTGTTCTAATTGTCGTCTCACTTGGGTCACTACTCAAGATATAGGCCTTTTATAGATAGTTTATTACGATAGGTCCTTTTAAAGGAAAAAGACCATCCAGAGTAATACATTTTGAGAAATGAATCTAAATCAGTATTTGTTTATAGTTTTGTTGGAATAAATGAGAAAATTGTCTGACACTGCATTACAGAGACATTACCGATTCAGAAAATGTTAAGTCCAGATACGTATACTTTATTACAACTTTCTAAAAGTCAAATCTGTGTTAGTTTTTGTCCGATTTTATTCTACATTTCACTTGTCTGCTTCCCTGATTTTTCTGGTATCTTTGAAAGTTCTTTACTATGAAGGTTGGATTTCTATTTATCGACAATACAATAACGACACCCTCTTGCGCTTAAAATTACTTTAATGACGACACAAATGTCAGATTGACATGAAAATTATAAACCTTTTGAACCCCACCTTGAGATCAAATTGCTTTCTCTTTGTAAATTGCCTAAATGTGGGATTTTACCGCTCCGCTAAAGTAATACCCGGTGTAATGCTACGTTTACACTATGTTCCCGGCGGCCACGGCAACCACGTTTCAGGCCACCGTGGAAAACGTGTCAGACCTTGATCAGAACGTGAGAAACGTGAGGGACCCCATCAGAACGTGACGGACCGGGAGGGAACGTTCTGGCATCCGTGGTAGAACGCGGGCCGAACCGTAGTGCGCCTTGGAGCCTCCGGGACTCAGCATCCCCTTACCCCCACGGTCCGTCACGGATACCGTGGTAGACCGTGAGAAAACTTGGCAAGACGTAACAAAACTTGAATCCAGAGATAAAATTGGTCTAAATCCCACGGCGAACTACGTTTCGGGCAAACGGGGCTGCCGTGGCCGCCGGGAACATAGTGTAAACGTAGCATAAGCAATTCAGGCATTACCTGCTA